CAAAAATCTTACTCAAAGGTTTGATACTTTCCTTTTGAATCAAGGACCAGCAATTCAATCTTATCCTCATCAATCCGGTGAAATGTGCATAACTTGTTCTAGTTATACTCACCATACTTTAAATTGCCCTCTTGGACAAATCATACCAAGTGAGCCTCAAGAATAAGCAAATGCAGCTTTTATTCATCAAGGGAACACCCCTTATTCCAATACTTACAATTCGGGGTGGAAAAATCATCCAAACTTTGCATAGAGAAATCAAGGAGACGGTGCAAACCCTCCTCAAACTCAAGGTTACCAAGCAAAGTATGTTCCCCCAATCAAAATCAGAATTCTCAAGGTTACCGTCCTTCATTCTATCCTCACAATGTGAATCAATACTCTCATCCTCCAACGTCAAATTCTCAATACTCTCATCCTTAAGCATCAAATTCTCCATCTTACTCTAATCCAAATCAAACGCCTCCTAAGAGTCCCACTTTTGAGGACAAGGTCTTGCAAGCCTTAGGTGATCTTCAAAAAGATAATCAATTATTTCATTCTTACTCTCAATCAATTGCAAAGCTTGAAGGTCAAATTGGGCAATTAGCTAATTCTTTAAATGTGAAAGAGAAAGGTAAGTTGCCTAGTCAAACTGAGACCAATCCTAAGGGTCAATTTATGGCGCAAGCAAGTCCTTCATCAGAATTTTCTAGAAATGAGCAAGTTCAAGCAATTACTACCTTGAGGAATGGTAGAAAAGTGGATAATAAGGTAAAGGTACCTAAGGAGGATAGTGAATTGACACAACCAAGTGGTTGCATCCATCCCATTAAAAATCCTATTCTTACTCCCTTGGATGCTAGTGGTTCCAAAAAGGACATTCTATCATCCTCATCATCATCTCCCTAATTAGAGAAGCCTTATGAGCCAAAAGCTCTATTTCCTCAAGCTTTGAGAGAGACTTCATTATTTGGGAGACAAGAAGGAAAAATTTATGACATGATGGAAGTGTTTTAGCAAGTGAAAATTAATCTTCCTCTTCTAGATGCAATTAGGCAAATTCCACCATATGCAAAGTTCTTGAAGGACTTGTGTACACAAAAGAGAAAGAGCAAGGGAAGAGACCTTAAGAAAGTGTTTTTAATGGAACAAGTGAGTTCCATCATTCTGTCTAACACTCCTCCTAAGTTCAAGGATCCGAGTGCTCCAACCATTTCTTGTGTTATTGGAAACCAAGAGATTCGTAGAACTCTCCTTGATTTAGGTGCAAGTATCAATCCCATTCCATACTCTGTTTACTTGCAATTAGGATTAGGGGACTTAAAGCCAACATCGGTAGTAATCCAACTAGCCGACATATCAATTAAGAAACTGAGGGAAATTGTTGAGGACATCTTGATTAAGGTTGATAAATTTTATTTTCCGGTTGATTTTGTGGTACTTGATACTGAACCAGTCCCTAATCTTACCAACCACATTCTAGTTATCCTAGGAAGACCATTTCTTGCCACTGCCACTGCCACCATTAATTGTAGATCCAGTATTATGGACATCTCTTTTGGAAATATGATGGTTAAGCTTAATGTTTTCAATGCGAGTCAACATCCCACAGATGAAGACGAGTGTTTCCTAGTGGATATTTTGGATGAAACCATAGAGGAGACTTTTCCCTCTATTCTATCTAAGGACCCTTTTGAGGTGTGCCTTTGTGAAATGTTTGAAAGTTGTGGTTTTGACATAGAAGGATCCATAAGTGAGGTGAATGCTTTGATGGACTCTGTGGCCACTTTGGATTACCCACCTTGGAAAAGCAAGAAAGAAACTCTTCCTTCACTCTCTAGTACTCCACCAGTTCCTTCTCTCATCTCTTCTCCTACTCTTAAGCTTAAGCCTCTTCTATTGAATCTTAAATACTCCTTCTTAGGCCCAAAAGAGACTCTTCTGGTCATCATTGCTTCAAATCTTAAAAATAACCAAGAGAATGATCTTTTGGAAGTGCTTAAAGCTAACAAAGAAGCCATTGGATGGAGTGTGGCTAACCTAAAAGGCATTGACCCTTCTATTTGTATGCATCGCATACACATGGAAGAGGATGAAAGACCATTTAAGGATGCTCAAAGGAGATTGAACCCAAATATGAAGGAAGTTGTCATGAAGGAGGTTGTGAAACTTTTAGATGCGGGAATAATTTATCCTATCTCTGATTTCAAGTGGGTTAGTCCAACTCAAGTGGTTCCTAAAAAGTCGGGAATCACAGTTGTTGAAAATGATAAGGGTGATCTCATTTCAAAACGCATCGCCACTTCATAGCGTGTTTGCATAGATTACAGAAAGTTGAATTCCGCCACTAGGAAAGACCATTTTCCATTGCCTTTCATTGACCAAATCTTAGAAAGATTGGCTGGGCAACAATACTATTGCTTCCTAGATGGTTACTCGGGGTACAATCAAGTGGCCCTAGATCCATTGGATCAAGAAAAGACCACTTTCACATGTCCTTTCGGTACATTTGCTTATCGACGGATGCCTTTTGGATTATGTAATACTCCTGCCACTTTCCAAAGGTGTATGATGTCAATTTTTTCAGACATAGTGGAAAAGTATTTAGAAGTCTTCATGGATGACTTCTCAGTTTTTGGGTCCTCATTTGATTCGTGTCTCCAAAATCTCAAAAAAGTGCTTCAAAGATGTCGTGAGACTAATCTTATGTTAAGTAGGGAAAAGAGCCACTTCATGGTTCAAGAAGGAATCGCGCTTGGACATGTCATTTCTAAAAGAGGAATAGAAGTAGATAGAGCAAAAGTTTAGCTGATTTCTGAATTGTCTCCACTTACTACAGTGAGAGAAATCCGCTCCTTTCTAGGACATGCCGGTTTTTATAGCCGGTTAATCAAAGACTTTAGCAAAATTGCTAGATCCTTGTGCAACCTTCTTGCTAAGGAGCCTCCATTTGTCTTTGATGAAGCATGCTTAAATGTTTTTCATCAACTTCGCACTCTTCTATCATCCACTCCTATCATGTAACCTCCAAATTGGTCCTTAGCATTTGAGATTATGTGTGATGCTTCCGACTTCGCAATGGGTGTTGTTTTGGGACAAAGGGTAGGTAAACTACCATGTGCTATATACTATGCAAGTAAGACTTTCTCAGGTGCGCAATTAAACTATTCTACCACCGAGAAAGAATTATTTGCCGTAGTATATGCCCTTGATAAATTTCGGTCATATCTCTTAGGATCCAAGGTAATTGTGTTTTCCGATCATGCTGGTCTTAGGCATCTTTTGATGAAAAAAGAAACCAAACCTCACTTGATAAGATGGATCCTACTTCTTAAAGAATTTGACTTTGAAATCAAGGACAAAAAGGGCTCCGGTAATGTTGTTACTGATCATCTATCTAGATTAATGGTTGAATCTTCTCCAAATCTTGAAATTCATGAATCATTTCCGGATGAACAACTCTTTCAAATCTCATATGGGACGTTGCCTTGGTTCGCCGACATTGTTAACTATCTTGCAATCGGCAAACTTCCCACTAATTGGTCAAAATAAGAAAAGGACCGATTATTTGCTAACATCCGAAAATACTATTGGGAAGATCCCATTCTATTTCATTATTGCCCAGATCAAATCATAAGGAGATGTGTGCCGGAAAGTGAAGTTCCGAGAGTCCTTGTGTTTTGTCACACACTTGCTTGTGGTGGGCATTTTAGTGGAAAAAAGACCGCTTTGAAGGTTCTTCAAAGTGGGCTCTTTTGGCCCAGTAACACTGAGATGCCTACAACTTTTGCAAGGTGTGTGTTCGGTGCCAAAAGTTGAGATCAATGTCAAAGAGAGACATGATGCCCTTAACTTCAGTCTTTGTAGTTGAAATCTTCGATGTATGGGGCATAGATTTTAGAGGACTATTCCCAATGTCTTATGACTTTCAATACATTCTCGTTGCCATTGATTATGTTTCAAAGTGGGTTGAGGCTTGTGCTACTAAAACGAATGACCACTCCGTGGTAATTGCATTCGTTAAATCGAACATTTTTGCTCGTTTTGGTATGCCAAGGGCTATGATAAGTGGTGAAGGAAAACATTTCTATAATCAATTCTTGAAGCAATTATTTTTGAAATACTCTGTCACACATAAAGTGGCCACTCCCTACCATCCCCAAACAAGTGGGCAAGTCGAGTTGTCAAATAGGGAAATCAAGCATATTCTTGAGAAAACTGTCAATCCGACCCGAAAAGATTGGTCAAGGAAATTGAATGATGCTTTGTGGGCTTATCGGACAACTTACAAGACTCCAATAGGCATATCTCCATATAGACTTGTTTATGGGAAGCCTTGTCATCTTTCGGTTGAGCTAAAACACAAAGCACTTTGGGGAATAAAAAGTCTCAACTTTGATCTTGATAAGGCTAGAATGGACCGTTTGCTCCAACTCAATGAGTTAGAGGAATTAAGAAATGATGCCTATAATAGTTCAAAAATCTACAAGGCAAGGACAAAAGCATTTCATGATAAACATATTGTGGAAAGGTCATTTGAGGCCGGTCAAAAGGCATGGTTATTCAACTCTAAGCTCAAATTCTTTCCTAGAAAGCTTCAAACCAAATGGGAAGGCCTTTATCTCATCATCTCCATCTCACCTCATGGGGCGGTTGAACTTCAAAATCTGAAAGATGAAGGGACTTTCAAGGTTAATGGTCAAAGGCTTAAACCATTCATTGATGGACAAACTCTTCAAAGAAATATGGAATTCGCTCACTTGGTGGATCCCATTTACTTTGAAGATTGAGAGCATCTCACGTCTTTCTAGCGACGTTAAACACTAGTTGTATCGAGTTCCTCATTCGTTGCATGTTAATTTGCATTTTATTATTTTATTTTATTTATTTATTTATTTATTCTTTCTTTTTCCTTTTGTACATTTATGCATTTCATAATTTCAAAAAAAAAAAAATAAATAAATAAATAAGAAGAAATAAATAAAATAAAATAAAATAAAAATTGTTGTAATGGGTAGTGTAGGTTGGTATTTGATTTTATTTTAATTTTTGATATTATTATTTTTGTTTTTATTTTATATATTTCATTTTAGTATATATATTTTTCTTTTTAGTTTTGCTTAAATTTTAAAAAAATAATAATAAAATAGTGCTAGTTAGTATAGATTGGTTAGTGATTTTATTTCAATTTTATTTATTATTATTTTTATTTTTATCTATTTTTCATTTTAGTATATATATTCTTTTTAGTTTAGTTTTTTTTATTTTTATTTTTTATAAAAGAACAATAAAAAATAAAATTAAATAAATAAATAAATAAATAAAAGCAAAGATCGATCCCCACAGTGGGAGATCAATTCTGGCAGAATGCAACCCAGAAAATGCCTAAGTGGATTTTACCTGTGTTTCCACTTTCTCATTTTATAGTGAAGGAGAAATTTTTTGCCTAACATTATCGATCCCTCGCTTGAGGGATCTAGATCGAGCACCTCTTTTTAGCCCTCACTTGTCTCCATCGCCTAGCTGCCTAACTTCTCTCCATCGCCTAGCTACACTTACCCAAAAACTCGCCGAATCTCTCTAACCCTCATAACCCTAGCTGCCTCAATCTTCCCTCATCACCCCTCACCTCTCATATCTCAACATCGAGCACCACACTACTATCACCAGCTCCGGCCGAATCAAACCCACCCCAACCTCAGGCCGCCGTCTCTGAAATTTCAAGCGCAACTTCCAGTCATGGAGTTCTTTATTTCCGGCAAGCTCCTGGCCAAAAGGCCGAGCTATTCTTTCTCAGTCTCGGGTCTCTCTCATTTGTCTCATTTTCCGGCGGTCGCGGTTGGGTCGTTCAACGGCGTTGCGGCTGGGTCGCTGTTCTCCGGCGATTTTGGCTGGGTCGTTCAACGGCGTTGCGGTTGGGTCGCTGTTCTCTGGCCATTTTAGCTGGGTCCCGCCGGCGATTTTGGCTTAGTTCTTTTCCGGCCACGATTTGAGACTCGGCCTTCGCTTCGCTTAAACTGTAAAATGCTGAAATTTCCAATGATTTTGACTGGTTCTTCACTTCGCTTTGGGTTCTTCGACGTTAAATGCTGAAATTTCTAACTAGTTGGGTTCTTCGCTTCGCTTCTCCAGCGATTCCGGCTAGGTTCTCTCCAGTGATTTCGGCTGGGTCTCTACGGCGATTTTGGCTTCGTCGTTCTCGTTTGCTTGGGGGTAATTGTTTCGAGTTGTAGGTATAAAAATACAAAAAAATATATAAAAAAGGCAGCAGCAGCGCCGTTTCCTGGTTCTTCTCCAGCGATTCCGGCTGGGTTCTTTTCTGGCGAGCTCGTGATTCGCCGTTCTCCGGCGCTTTTAGCGAGCTCGAGTTGTGGGTCGCCGATCTCCTTGCGGTTAATTGTTTCGGGTAAGTGCTGATTTTATGGTGGTTGTTGGCAGTAGTCTGCACTGTAGGTTGAGGTGTTAATTGGGTTCTCTTTTGCTTACGAATTGAGTTGTTGATTGGGTTTCTTTGCAATAGAGGTTATAGGTCTTTAAAAAAAAAAAAAAGAACTATTTGGGGTTTTGATCAAGCCATAAAAAGTACTCATTGGATTGATATCCATCGATACTAAAGCTGGAGTTCAAATCTTCTCCACCAACAAATTGCTGCATGCACACAAGACCACAAAATTAAGGATTGAAATATTTGGCACCACCAATATTTGATTCGGAGTTCAGTAATTGTGTGGAAAGAATTACAAAATTTTTATCATTCTAACAAAAAAAAAAAAAAAAAACAAGAATAAGTTATTGTAGCTAATAAGATATTGAAATTTTTTTTTGGTTGAACTGGGTTGTTCATAATTTAGTTGTAATTGTGGTTAATTGTTTTGGACTTGAATTGATAGTTTACAAAAATTTGAATTGATGTTTACAAAAAAAAATAAATGAATAAATAAATAAAAATTTCACAGTGGCCAAATTGGGTGTTTGATTTGGTTAATTGTTTAGAGTTGAATTAGTGATTGGGGAAGTTTGGTTGTTGAATTTTGCGGATTAATTGATTCGGATTTTGGTTTATCATTGCAGTAGAGTTGTTACACTTGGTTGAAGCTGCAGTTCATTACAAAGTGGGTGTCTAAAAACTTTTTACTATAAAGCCTGCACTAATTCCCATTTATTCCACTCTTTAAGAAATGACTCGTGTTTCTTCTTCCAAACGTTTCAAACCCTCTAAAGCGACTCCCAAAGCCACGTGGCGTACCAAACGTCTGGATTTGAGACTACCTTCGACATTGAATGTACGTTTCGTCACAATGACACAACTGAATGGGCAGTATTAGAATTTGAAAGGAGGCGTTTGTCCTGCCTTTTTAGACTAGCTGCAAAGGTTGCATATCCCCATATTGTGCGCTTATTTTATCAGAATATGGAATGGTTTAGCGATGCGCTAGAAATATTAGCTACAACCATTGATGGTGTCTGAATTTACTTTGGTGTCTTGGACATAGCCCAAGATTGGGGTGTCCACATTTGTGCCCCACTAACTTGCTAGCAGAGAATGGGGAGCTACGTTTTGGCAAGTTCCCAGAAAAACTTACCGTGCATTTTATTGTTAAGGATATGTGTGCCGGGAAGTATGGTGACAAGAAGAAGAAGAATTGTGCCAGCAAGTCCTCCCTACCTAAGGCTATGTGGTTTTTCAATTAGGTTCTGAAATGGAATGTTCATCCAATAGGTCATAAGGTACAGCGGGGGTAAGAGTTCTTAATAGCATTGTATGCTACCCACACTGGAGCATGGTTTTCTGTTTGATGAGCGCTGAAAAGTGCGCATTTTAAGCCCTTAAGTTTAGGTATTTTAGAACCTTTATCTGTCTTATTTTTCCGCTTTAGATTGATTTTGTATTATTTCCATTTTCAGGTACTTATCCCCAAAATAAGCTAACTCAGCTAAATAAGAGTATAATTGAAGTAATCTTGAGATGAATCAAAGAAAGGAGCAAAGTGGGGGCAAAAGGAAGCAAGTGGTGGAAATTTAGCAAGTTCGATCGATCTCAGAAAATATTCGATCGATCGAAAGTTCATCAATCTCAGCATTTCAAGATGGATCCAAGCTCTTTTGTCCTTATCCAAAGATCTCACAAAGTTCGATCGATCCAACTTTCTTCCGATCGATCGAAAAGATTCCATCTTATCCAGTTGTATCACCCTACCTACCACACTTGTCTCTTTCCCAAAAATATCTTCAAAATATCTCAGATTTTTCTTTATCCAAAAAGGCGCCGCAATAGAGGATCGATCCAACTTAAAATCGATAGATCTCAGCCATGTTCGATCGATCTCACCACAAGTTCGATCGATCGAACTTCCTTAAAGCCCAAGAAAATCCAATTTCCAGCTCATTAAAAGTTGTCTCATATCCAATCATTGAAAGGAATATTGGTGTACGAGCCCAGCTCATTAGGGTGACATTTTAACCTACCTATATAAGGAATATGAGCCATTCTTGACATATGCTAGATACATACACTAGAGACACAAATTTCCATATTCTTAGTGAGGAAGAAAAAAAGAAAGGAGGCTAGAGATACAAGCTTGGAGTTCTTCCATCAACCAAGAAGAGGAGCAATCTCTACCATGGAGTTAGCCCTTGAAGGTTGAAGACACCATCCATGAGTGGCTAGGCATCCTCTTGGGGTTGGAGTTAGCCCTAAGCATGTTTTATACATCTTGATTTATGTATTTTTGAGGGGATTTGTATTGTGATACATGTTTTGACACTTTTATATATATAGATCTTGTTTATTCAATGATTTGTGTGGTTTAATGCTTCCAATTAATCATTTCATTCTATCCATATATCTATGTATGCTGGAATAGATGTTCATGTGTTTGTCTCTATTTCTTGTATTATTGATGCATGTCTATGTGTATTAATGTTATAGATTTAGAGATTGTCAAGATATAGTGCTTAATGGAATGCTCTTGTGGTTTATTTGATGGTTCATACTCATTTCTTGATGGATTGTGCATCTCCTTTAGTTTAATTAGTTTAATTTCATGTCATTAGCTTAATTGTAGTATAATTGTAGTTTAGATGTTAAATGAGAGGACAATCCATGCTTGTTGTTTGATGTTCCATACTTATGAAAGCAAGTAGCATATATATCTAACCTTGTGATGTGTTTGGATTATGAGATTAAAGAAATGATTAATGGCTTAGTTTGATATATTGTGCTATCCACCATGTTGTTTAGATAATATATGCTTAATTTGTCATCTATGCTTGTTGAAACAATCACACACACACACTATGTTGCAATACATGTTTTTCCCCTCATTAATCATTCATTAAGAAGTGTAGAAAAGCTATATTTAGTGGTGATCTCTAAACCCCAAGATCTCTATCTTATTTTCTCTCCATTACATTTAATTGCCTACTTTAGTATAAATTGCATCTTAGTGTAATTCAACCACCAACCAATCTTTTGATCACTCGACCTACTAACCCTAATCTCGATTCCACAACCTAATACGACCCACCAATCCCTTGGGACGATCCCTACTCGCCTTAACTATATTTTTAGTGAAAGGTAGTAGTGGCGTATTATAAATGTAAAACTTGGCCACACTCCCCATAGTCCAACACCACTTTCTTTTACACAAACTTTGGGTTGTTGACGACGAACACACCAAGTTTTTGGCGCCATTGCCAGGGATTGATTGAAGGTAACGTCGTATTTGTGGAATCAATTAGAAATTTATAGTCTTTTGATCGTGTCTTTACTTTGTTTTCATTTTCATTTTGGTTACTTATTGTGTTGGTTCTTGTTTGACTAGGTGCATTGAACTAAAAGGTGAGTAAAGGAGCATTTCAAGCAAGGAGCTAAGCAAAAGTAAGGAAAAAGCTAAAATCTAAAAAATTTGCAAGGCTAAAATTGAAAATTGAATTGAAGTGATAAAGGACCCTTTGTAAGCTCTTTCTTAACTCAATCTCTAGTTAAGTCATCGGTCCGCGTGAAGGCTTGTATTAGTATAGGATCATTGTATGTGGAAGAAGTTTGTTGATTGTTGATTTGTTGCAATGGTGAAGTGTTTGTTCATTACTTGTTGCTTGTTGTGTTTTGTTGTGCATGCATGGTCGTAGATCATTGAAACCTAGTCTTGTCCCTCTTAATTGTCGTCTTGAATCCGTTGTTCGAAACACTAGGGGAAGAGGAAGTTCTAGTCAATCCATTTCATCAATGAAAGGACATAATGAGGACCATGTGGAGGACCTTGGTCACATAGAACAACAAGGTATCCTCCACCCCAATGTGCATCATGATAACATGCAAGTACTATTAGGCATGCCGAGGCCATTCATTCACTCACTACAACAACAAGGCCAAGTTTCATTTGGAATGCCAAGGCTAATCTATGATCCACAACCTCCCATCATTCAAGTCAATCAAGGTGCCCATGTTGCACCTCCAATTGCTAATCCTCCCCTTGCCTTGCTTTAAGAGATCACTATATGCCTAATGAATACAATGCACCCACATGCAATCAATTGCCACCATTTAGAGCACACCACTATAAGATTAAACCACAAACCATTCAAATGATTCCTAACTATCATGGACTTCCAAGTGAAGAACCTTACAAGCATTTGGATGAATTTCTTGAAGTATGTTCCACCATGAGATACATGGACATGCCGGAAAAGGTCTTGAGGCTTAAACTTTTTCCATTCACCCTTAAAGATAAGACAAAATATTGGTTAAACAATCTTAGGCCCTTTTCAATAACTTCTTGGGCAGAAATGCAACAAGAGTTCTTGAAGAAGTACTACTCAGTTTTTAAGACCAATGCCATGAGAACCTCAATTCGAGAGTTTTCACACGGGAATGTGATCGGTATGACAATTATACATCAACCTTTGCAATAGCACAACTCATTGTAAAATAGGGCTATTGGTCGGGTAAGTCGAACTACTAGGACTGCTAGTTTATGGCAATCTAAGTGTCTAGAATCATTTTTAGAATGATAAAGGGGGTTATAGAGGATTTGTTAGATTGTCATTAATATTATGTTTTGAAATATGCATAAAACAAAAATTTAGGAAATAAGAGGCAAAGACAATAAAAATGGGAACTAGGGAAGTGAATCCGCACTAAACCTTAAACACATGCTAGATTAAGACTAAATTGGGGATAGACAATATATATGTAATGGTCAAGAATTATGCAGCAACACATAGTTGCCTTATAATCATTAAGAAGTTCATTAAATCAACACAAGAATGATCCATCAAAAGCTAATACATTTGAACTACCTAAATAGGGTATAACATCAGATACATTATCTTAAGCAAAAGATCATCAAGCATTCAATCAAATGATGAAGCACATGAAGCACATGAAGCTAGGAATTAAGCATAAACCATCAAAGGGATTACCTAAGCAATGGACTATCAAAGTTTTCTATCAACATACCATTAAACCATTTCATAACCTTATTTGCATTTTCACTATGAAAACATAAGCAATATGATTAATGTAAGACATCATTTAAAACAAGATAATCAACTTAAAAAAATCATTCATATACATCAACATCCATTACAACAAATGAAGTGCTCTAGATCATGAAAAGACCATAGATTATACATTGCAATCCCCAAATTAGAACTAAGCTAGAACATGCTTACAAGGGAGGGCTTCATCACCTCTCTAGAGGAAGAGTTAGTTACCTATGGATGCCCTAGAAGAAGGAAGAAGCTTGGGGGAAACTCCCATTTTTTGAGCTCAACCTTGTAGCCAAACAAAACTCTATCCTCTTTCCTTTCTCTCTCCTCCCCTCCTGCAAAAATATATGAGATCCCCTTTTTATGGATCCCCCTTCCTTTTTGTAGACATGATGTCTACCAAACCCCTCATAAAACAAGGCTCAACTTTCTCCAAAAGAACAACTCCAACCAACTCATAAAAGAGGGAAATTAGAAATTGAGGGAATCAAGGTACAAGTGGGTCTGTAATGTTCCTTCGAACGCTCGAAGATTGCAGTACGAGCGCTCGAAGATGTCTTGGAACAAAAACTTGTTGGCTCGAGAACATGGACGAGCGCTCGAAGAAGGGTCTTCGAGCGCTTAAAGAAGCCTTAAGTCCTTTTGCCTTGGTTTGGAGCACTCGAAGCTGAAGTAGGGGCACTCGAAGTATCCTTGGACCATTTTGTTATGATTTAGAGCACTCGAAGCTTCTCCGAGCGCTCATATGACATGTAATAGCTCACGTGGATTTCTCATATGTGCCACATGAGCGCTCGAAAGTGGTGTTTCGAGCGCTCGAAGATGCCTCAGAATGCATTTTCTTCTCCTTTTGCTATGGACATCTTTTACTTGGATTTAGCATTGGCCTATTGAGAATCATTTACCCCTTTTTCATTGTAGAAGGACTTCATGGACCTATTTTAGCAAATTCCTTTTGGAGATCTCCGGATGCAAATGCCCGGAATGATTTGCTCTTCAACAAGCCTTCAAAAACTTCCATTGAATTTCCTTTTTTTTTTTTTTTTTTTTTTTTTTTTTTTTTTTTTTTTTTTGCAGACAAACCTGAAAATTGCACAGAATAAAGAACTGAAGAAAATATATACAATTGAACTACAAATGGACTTAACTAATGCAAATAAGGGCACTTGAATATGCAATATTCGGCACTTATCACACCCCCAAACTTACATTTTGCTAATCACATAGCAAAATGAAAAACTCAACGAATGACAACCATTGGATTGCTCCCCAAAAATATCAACCATAGCAAAATGAAATACATGCATAGCTCAAATACAACTTGAAACGGATAAAGAACTGGAGACGGGGTCATTGGGTAGACTATCTTGCATATATGAAGCCTTTGATTCAAAAATTGGCTAAACACGTTTCAACATGCATGCATCAACATCATAGTCTATATAAATAATTCAATTGTCATCTCTTGAATAGAAATCAACTCTAACTTCAGTGGAAGTGAACCGGATTCCCAACATGTGGCTTTTACTTTCTTTTTCCAATTTCAAGACACAAGTCTTCAAATCATTGAATTTTCCTTTTTAAATGAAGTCACTAAGGCATGAATTTATTCAAACTACAACTGTCTGTTTTTTACATAATATGGTTGTGCAATGTCGAAGTCCCTTAAACTTTCTAACCAACCCATGTAGCAAAGGTTAGGCCAACAACTCCCAAACCAGATGGCTCTAGGGTGTTGAGTGTAGAGACACTTCTAGGGCTTAATAGCTCGAATTGGCAATACTACGAACTCCTGTTTATTATATATATATATATATTTGAATGACCGTGCAATGTCTAAGTCTTTTAAGCTTTCTAACCAACACATGTAGCAAGCATTAGGCCAACAACTTCCAAACCAGATGGTTCTAGGGTGCTAAGTGTAGAGACACTCCTTGGGCTTAATATCTTAAGTTGGAAAGGTTACAAACTCAAACTGGCATTTATCTTCTTCTTCTTTTTTATTTTTTTATTTTTTTTAATTTTTATTTATTATCATGCCAAAGGTATCCATCTATTAGGTTCATCAAATCAGATTAACTAGGTCAAGATCAAGGTCAATCAAGTTGCATACCTCACAGTTAAGTTTTCAGTGTGCATCTATGCATTATGAAGCATAAAAGAGTATAAAATCCAACGAGAATCTAATTGAAACATTTATACAGACTAAATTGCATCAACATGATCATTTCAAATTTTCTTTATTTTCAAAACTCAACGATTGCTTCTATACACAAGATATTAAACATATGCTTCATCTCCGACAAGTTTCAAATTACAATATCATTGCTTTACAAAAATGTAAGACCAAAAATACAATATTGTACCCCCAAACTTGAATGACACATCGTCCTCAATGTGGGATAATAACTAACATCTACTGAAAAGTAGAGAGGATAACAAGAACAAAAATTACCAAGAAAAAGAGGACAGCGCATGGCGAGGTGACAAAAATCTCCCATGTGAAGTCCAACAAAAACAGGCCCCCAAACTTGAAATGTGTAACCTGCACTGAGAGAAACAGCGAGGGAAAGATACAAAAGACAGAATTAACAATGAAACATTAAAAGAAAATAATTAACAGACAATAAAAGAAAAGAGGGAATTTTCATTCATAAATAGGTGGATATGATTACAAAAGGAACTGAAATTTTATCATGACTAATCAGATCAACTATTACATAAACAAATTCCCAAGTTTAAAAACTAGAACAGCAACAAAAAATAGAAACATAAACATGTGAAACAAAAGACGGGTCACGAACGGGCCACTAGCTACGGGCCAGGGGGAAAATGGGCAAGGATTGCATTGAGGAGGGATTGAGTGTCACGCCTTTCATCCTGTGCCACACGACGGTCCTCAGCTGCAACACGACGGTCCTCCTTCGCACGCAAGTAGTCCTTTCAGACTGTCCTATTGTAGTCCGCCAAGGTATGCTCAAAACGATCCATCTGAGCATGGATACCTGCGATGCTAGCTCGCAGAAAAGCATGGTCCTGCTAAGAGTCAATAGGGGGCTCCTCCCATTCAGCATCCTCAACCATGGGATCATCCTCGAAAAAAGGAGGAGATGGATCCCGATGAAGGAGGAGCAACGGGCCTAGAATGGCCAAGAACATTATTCCAACGGCGAATGGTAAATGCCTGAACCTTTTTTCCTTTTTCTTCACGAGGCGGGATGATGAAACCTTTGTGTTTCAGGAGCTTGGTAATGAAGAAGGGTAGCAGCAAAGCCCAAGCTTGGGCTTGTTGGTGCTGGGAGTTAAGGCAGTCGTCCCAGAACCGCATAAATTGGCTCCAAATGAGCTCCGGAATAGAGATCCATTGGCCTTAGTCCAGGGCATACAAAGCCTGTAACATCAGACCTCGGCACTCGGTGTTGTGCACCAAGGGGCAGATATTGTGCTTATGCACGGAGTCAAAGAACCACACGCGCTCAGGGAGGGTGGATTTAAGTGTATAGCTCCGGGGTCGATGAGGATTATCTATGTTGCAAATGGCGACAACAACTTGCTCCACAATTAAATTATCAGGCTCCTCATATAAAGGAAGATTCT